TGAATACAAGGCTTGTGAGTCCCCAGATTACATCAAATGGGGAATTGAGGTATGCACAGAACCTTTCTTCCTCTTCTTCTTCTTAAATCTATTATCACAAGCGGATGCGGCGAATAACCAAATTATCATTTGTCTCCAGGATCCAGATCAAATTTTAACAGGGGAAGGGAATGCCAGTGGTGCCGTTGATCCGAGGTTAGCCGTGTGAACAGAATAATGTCCCTCTTTTTTTGCAAGTTGACAGAGAAAAAACTGTTGATTGCTACTTGTAATTAATTGTTCCCTGCTCCATTTCTGGTTCTACACAATCCACTCTGTTTTTTTCACATTCTAACCTTTATGGCTTTCTAAAAAGCAGCCCCCCCCACCCCCACCCGAGCTTGCTTTAAGCGTATTGTAAAACTCTTGTTGTGGTGTCTTCTAATGGATTCCTCTAAGTTTTTCTATTGCCAAAGCAATTTGACAGTGATTTGATTCTGAGGGAGGCTAATTTGACACTCATTTATACGCCACTCTCTTACATCACTTCAATTGGGCACTTACTGTCTCGACCTCCTTACTCCCCCCCAGTCCCCCACCCCTCCTCTTCTCCCTTGATTGCCATTTGACAAATCTAAATATGCCAAATAGTGATTAAGGAAATGGAGGGGGTGAGGTGGATTGAGCGGAATATGAACAATCAATTTTACGATTGGAGCATTGCAGATGCCCTAATTGAACTAGTGTCGTTTTATTTTATACCAACACTTTTTTTTTCTGGAAATGGTTAAGAGGAAGGTAACATCTACCCTTGTTTTAGGTACTCCGGTCCCAAAAACTTTTATCCGCTTCCCCTTTTTGAACGTCTCAAAAAATATTTGTTGCATCTTTGTTTTCATTTTTTTAGTTATGAACGTGTGGCTTGCAACATTTTTCTCGGCGTAAAAAATTTTGGCATGAAGGGAATATACGTTACGGAGTAGTTACTTTCTTCGTCCAAAAATATCCATTACGGAGTATATTTTAAGGAAAAATTTGTGTGGTTAACATAATTTTCTTATTTCTAATAAAAAAATTAGGCGCAACAGTGATAATAAAAATGGCTACTTTACGTCTTCTTCCCTCTTGCTACTATGGAAAATCTTTTCTAGTTCTATTTCCACTAAGAGCCTATTCTTTATGATTGAAAAAAAAGAGTTACATGTTGGAACAAATTAGAAGAAACGGGAAGGAATTAAAAGTAATTCCTAGAGGAAAAAAATGCATTATTAGAATTTTACAATTCCAAATGCATTATCAGAATTTGACAATTCCTAGAGGAAAAAAATGCATTATTAGAATTTTACAATTCCAAATGCATTATCAGAATTTGACAATTCCTAGAGGAAAAATAATCAATGTTAGACTATACCGTAAAAATAAGCAATTAATAAGTAAATTAATAACAGAGAACATAAAGATTTAGCATCATTACATATAAATATAGCATTATCAATGTGATAATGAATATATTTTTAACTCAATCATCCAATCTTTCAAGAAGGAAGAACACCTACAGCATCATTCAATATTATGGCATTGTGGGGACTTTCTACGTGCATAAGGAAAGTTAAGAGCTTTTTGGATAATTAGTGAAATAATATAGAATACTTCCTCTGACTCAAAAAAATTTTCTATTAATCTTTATATAAAATATGGTATATAAATAGAAAAAATAAAACTTACATGTTTAATAAACTATGTTTTCCAATTATATCTCCATACTTCATTTTTGTATATACATCTTCTCCATGAATCTTTAAGTTTCATCAATGGCCATCGAACTTATATGTATACAGTATACTCCTAAATACGGAGTATATGATATTCAAACTCCCTATAACATTGTATATATCGCCATAAAAAAAATTCTGATTTTATTAGTTTGGTTTTCACGTAATTTTTTTTATGAAAAAGAATTTTTTAAAGAAAATCTACTCCCTCTATTCCGTAAAATTTTTTTAATTTTCTCATCTTAAATGTCTCATAAACATTTCAATTTGTTTTAAATGGACACAATTACTCTTACTTTTTTTTAATTTAACCGAATATACCACAACTATCTTTCACATCCTATTCTTTTTGACATTTCCCAAGCCCTATTTTTTTTGCCTTGGTCAAATTTGTACAACTTCTCCTATCAAAAAATTTTATTTCCATTTTTGTAACTCATCTCATACTATACACCCTTCGTCTCAATTTAAATTGTCTGTTTCGGTTTACGATGTTTAACGAAAATTACTTTCAAATTATTTTATACTCTCTCCGTCCAATAATTCTTTTCTCACTTTCCTTTTTGGGGAGTCCAGAAATTTCTTTCATGTTCCTTATTTTGGCAAAAAACTTTTAAGTATATATCATTATACCCCTACTTTTTATCTATAATATTCACTTTATTTTATCACATCAAATACAACACATCGAAAGTGTTTACACTTTTTCACTTTTTCTTAATCTTCGTGCCAACTAACAAATCAAATCGGGAAAGAATTTTTTTTAAAGAATGTGGAATTGAAAAATAAAATTACATATTTCAAAACTACATCATAAGATTTATGAAGCTGGTAGTGATATTAATATATTATTTTATCAAATAACTAACAAAAATAGAAAAAAAAAGTAAACAAAGTTTAACTATTTGAATAATAGACTGACAGTTTAATTTGGGACGAAGGGAGAAATAATACAGAATATGGAAATGTCACCCTTGTTTTATAAAACTTTTTATATAACTTTTTAATATATGAATTCTGTTTTTAAACTCTACCCCGATTTTTCAAATAAATTATTCTAAAAATAACTCCAATCAAATATTCGTATTATAAACTGAAACGGTAACGGATCAATTATATTATTCTCAAAGACACTCGAATTTTAATCAATATTTGGGCACATAAAAACAAATGTGATGGTATGATGGTAGTACTCCATGCACACAGCACGCCTAAATTCCACATCATGGATTCCACATTTAGTCTCGCTTTTAATTATTACTTTCTTTGTGTTCCAATTTTTTTTTTTAAAAAATCATTTATATTCATATGATGAAACTATTATTTTTATACTTAAACATTTTTATTACTTATTTGATTTATTTTGTAGGAATTTTTTACTCTATGTATACAGAGTAAAAAACAACATAACAATAAAACTGTTAATTCGGTTAGTTTGTTACATCATTTTTAAGAGTAAAGAATTGTTGATGTGAATTCGGTAGAAAAATAAATTTATACAGAGTAGTACAGGGCATTGCATCACAATTTCCTCGCAACTGTGACGTGAGGCAATTATGTTAGGACCTCTGCAAGCATGGGTGACCCGGAGAGTGTACAAAGTGACCAACCGCACATGGTTCCTACAATTTTTGTTGGAACTGTCTAAGGAAGAACACTGCGAAGCAGTGTTAAAGAAGAACTCGATAGTATAACGAATCGCGTACGAAACGCTATCAGATCAAAGTTATTTCGAGATATACGAAATACTTTAATCAAATAAGACATTAATTAAGAACAAGCACTCGAAAATCTGTCACACAACGCATACCACGAGACTCTATTTTATAGAGTCGAAAATCTCTTAATCGGACATGAACATTTGCGTAGATGTACGCGTACGTTCGCACGAGGAAGAAGAAAGGCGCGAGTTTGAACGAAAGGTCTCTTGCGGTTTTAGGCTCTATTTCGACGTTATCATCTTTGTACGTGTCTTTTATCGTTTTGGACTCCGGTCAGGAAAATCTTAAGGATTTTCATAAAGAAACAACGTCCCTCCGGCCAGGGGCTGCCGCCCCTTAGACCCCGCTACCCGGGGACTGCCGCCCCCGAACCCCTGCTATCCCAGGGGCTGCCGCCCCCGAACCCCCGCAGTGAATTTGTAATATCGTTGAACGAGCACGCACTCCGCGCCTCCTAACTCATTTGACAACGTCTATTTAAATTCGTGTCCGATCTAAGTAAATCCAATTACACAAAATAAACCGATGACACTAAAATCACCAACAATTTTAGGGTCTCATATATTTTAAATTCTTCATTAATTTTAAAGCATAAGTATTCTAGAAACACTAAAATATGACCCAAAATATAAATTTTGGACCGGGGGAATTTTATTTTTTCATTTTTCGAGGTCGACTCTGTTTGGAATTACAAGGTGCAGACTTTATTTTTTGCCACCAATCTGCGATCAAATACTAATTTTCTTCGCTTCAAGTGGAAGTTTTTTTTGGAGATGAGACTCATCTTTTTTTTTTTGGAGATCAAGGGTTTGGAAGAGTCAAGAGACACAACTATGAAGTTCAAGTGGAAGTTTCAGGGGCTGTTTGTTTTAGCCTCTTAATGGTTCAGATGTCTGAATGGTTCAGCACTTAATGGTTTAGACTGTGTGTTTCAGCCTCTTAATGGTTTAGATGTCTGAATGTTTAAGAGATTTGCCTCTGAATGGTTAAGTATTATACAAAGTCTGACTGGTTAAGACCTCTTATCTGAAGTGATCAGACATTTGCCTCTGAATAGTTAAGCAATATACTAGCTCTTTATGGTTCAGACCTCCTACTGGTTCAGCACTTAATGATTCAGACCTCTTACTGGTTCAGCACTTACCTATTCAGAAGTTGCCAAACAGCCCCTCGATGCCGTATAAATGTTATTTTCATATAGATATGTGAGTGGCAAAGTATAACTAACAATGGGAGAATTTTCTCATCCATTATATTATTTTAAAATATTATTTTAAAATATTATTTCTAAAACTGGGCATTCTTTTCTCGTCCAAAAAAGAGCAGAAGTATTTTTCGACAAATTAAAGTCGGGATTAAATATTTACTCTTTTGTGTTATAACTTATGTTTTTTCAAGAATCTACCACAATCAAACACTCTCAAAATAATAATTTTAGTACCAAAAAACAATATTGAATACTAAAAAATCACAAAAACATTTTTCAATAGCCATAACCCATAAGCATTAATGCATTATCTCTAGGATTCAAAAAACACTTCCTTAGTACATAATTTCCTTAGTTCATTACGGAGTATGAAATTAAAGGCAAAAGGTAAGCAAATTAGACAAAGAACACTTTAGCTTTATTCTCATGTTTCTCGTCTTTGTTTAATTGTCTTCTCAATAATGCCATGAAATTAATCTTATATTAGCACATTTTTTGTTTTTTTTCGAGACTATACTTAGGCATATATGGCAAAACAGATCTGAATTCGATAACTTGAATCGAATTCGAAATGACTCAAAAATTATAGAACTGAATAATAATCGAAAATTTGAAATGATATGAATCGAACCGAACCGAATGTATTCAGATCCGAATCCAGTTGAATCTGAAAGTATAGTTCATCTAAACAAAGCATTCACTGTTTTTTATTTACATACAGATAAAAAAAGGAAATATAAGAATTATTTATTTATTTTTGTTAATTACAAGGGATTTGTTAAAAATAACATAATCTCGTCATTTCTTATACTCCGTATATTATACCCTATCTATCCCTAAAAGACTTGCACCGCTCCAACGATATATAAAATCTCGTGTCTTTTTAATTCACTTTGTATTTCATTTATAAAATGATGTAGAAATAAAAAATAGGACTTGCATATAAAAAGCATTCCAAAAGTTATACTCCGTATAAAAGAAAAGGCAACAATAATTTTATATTTTGTCAAATGATCAATCAAAATACATATTCACATTTGTTATTCGTTCAATTCCTATGAAATATATTTTGAAAAATAATTTATAAGATAAAAGTTATTCTGGGATGGAGTGAATAGTAAAAAATTTCAAACAAATAGTAAGGGAATATGGCAAACTAATTATATATGAAAAATATTTTAAAAATATCTTACAAGATAAACATCATAAAATTATCATTGTCCTAGTATCAATATAACTTTCATTTCATTAATGATCAAATATATCAGTTTTGATTGCAAAAAATTAAAAGTAGAAAAAATAGTTAGGATAGAAGTCATATTTTCTTCAACTTATTCTTCTTATTTACAGTGTATTACTTTTTCTTATTGAAATCAAATAAATTCAGATCAGATTCAGACCAGATCAAATCAGATCATTTTTTTTATTAAAGATAACTGCATTCAAGTGAGATCAGACCATACCAGATCTTAACTTATTACAATCAAATAAGAAATATTCAAATCAGGTGAAGAGAGCATGACCGAAGATTAAATTCTTTTTAAAAAAAATTAAATGTAAATGACATTCAATTAAGTTTTGTTAAGAGCAAGGGAAATACTCCTAGCGCCCTGGGGCATCACAGCGACTTTAACGCCCAGGGGGCGTTAAACACCGCCCCCTAGGGCTTCATTGTGGCGTTAAGACTCCCCTATAACGGCTAAATTAGTCGTTGGAAGCAAAAAAAATGTAATTAATTATTTTTATAAATTTCAAACTACATCTCCTCCCATTCTCACACCTTTCAATCTCCCATTCTCATCAATCTTCTTCACATCTTCTTCAATTCTTTAATTCTCCAACTCTCTTTTCAACATGAATTCTTCCAACCCTGGCTTCTTCCTCGACGATGTCGAGAGAAGACAAAAAGAGATCAAGGCCAAATATAATTTACCTTAGTTTTTTTTATTAATGTATCTTTTTTTTATTATTGTCGCTTTCTTTTTTTTAATTTAATGAATGTAATTTTTTAAAATTATTGTCGCTTCAATTTCTTTAAATTTAATGATTGTAATTTTTTTAATTATTCTTGTTTCAATATAATTAAATATTAAATTAATTAAAATTGTTAATTTAAATTTAAAAGATGTATATTTAAAAATGTAAAAAATGAAGGTTTGAATCTCTGTTTAAAGCCTCGGGGCTTCAAACTCATTTTTTACCGAATCTGCAAAAGTTTAATAAGCATAGAAGATAGAAACCATACAGTCTGTCATGGCGAAAGACGGTCACTAGACTGACCAGTCTACCCTGAATAGCTCCCTCCCTCCCTCTATAGTCCAAACAATCGCAATTATGATCCCTCATGTCTGATCGTGTCATTCTTTTCTAGATTTATTTGATCAATTTTTTTAATCAATAGTATTTTTTTTTAAAAAGTACTCCATCTAATACTCTCTCTGTTCCAAATTATTTGCAATGTTTGTTTTTTCCGAAGCCGCGAGAACTTTTTTTTATTTCTACTTTTTCATTGGTTATTTGATAAAATAAAATATTCTTGACACTTCTTATTTCAAAGAACTTTTCATAAAGTTTTTTGATATGTAATTTTTATTTTTTATTTCTATGCCAATATGTAAATAAAATGAATTGAAAAAACTTGATATTTTGCCTCAGAAATACTAGTGTGGCAAACATTTAGGGGCGGAGGGAGTATTTAGATAATAAAAACATAAAACTTTTATTTTGATACTTTTTTTTATATTTTAATTTTAATTTCTTTAAATTTTAGTCATATTTAAGATGATTTCTTCTCTTATAAATATTACAGAGAGTCACATACTAACAATTTTGGGGCAAGAGTAAATTCCCTAATTTGGGTAATATTTAATCATCTAAAGAAAATTAACCCAATTTAAAAGCATTTAATTACAAGAAAATGCCACCCACCGGCCACCTCTAGTCAAAATTGGGTTATTAAATGGCCTCACCGCAGTGGGAGACTAGAGGGAGAGCACAACACACAACAGATAGGCAAAGAAAGAGCCTTTTTAGAACAACAACGGTCACACATACACACACAGTCTTTGTTACAAACAAACATCTCTCTCTCTTTCTCTCTGTACTGAGTACTTCTGACATTTTTCCTCTCACCCATTACATCCCTTTACCTGCAAAAGAAACAGAGATAAGAGGGACAGCCCCTCCACTGCGCCCTGCACCCCTATATGTGTAATGTGCTCACCCCCTCCATCGAACAGAGAGAGAAGAAGAGAAAAGAGAGAAAAAAAAAAGAGATCTTTGAGATTTATGGCAAGAAAAGAAGAGATCTTTGAATAATCATCTCAGACAGCCACAGCTCAGAAAAGAGTCAACTTTTTACTCATTTCTTTGGCGGCTATACTACCCTATGCCCATCTCATTTTTTTGCTCCACTCCCTTCTTCTTCTTCTCCCCTCATCAATGCGGTCACCCTATTCAAAGAATTGAATGATGGGATTTCTTTTCTTTTTTTCCAATTTTTTTTAAAAAAAGAATCTTTATTTTAAATAGATTAATGAAATCTTAAATAGTGGTGGCTCGTTGGACGAGGTTGTTGGGTAGAACCAGATTGTGCCCTTGTCTTTATTAATCCCTTCTTCTTCTTCTTCTTCTTGGGTTAGTCCCTTGTTTGGTTCTGCTTGCACCAGAAATAAGCAACTTCTTGGGTTTTTCATTTGCTGAGGGGTTGGGAGGTAAAATTGCAGGGTATTTCTTGAGTGTAGAGTGGGGTGGGTAAAATTAAGTGGGGGTGAAAATGAAGTTTATGAAGCTGGGGTCGAAGCCTGATGCATTTCAATCTGATGGCAACTTCATCAGGTAAAAATCTGTTTTTTTTTGTCTTTTTTTATAAATCTTTTTTACCATTTTGTCTTCTCTGGCCTTGAAATCAACTGAGATTAAGTATGAAAAAGTTACTTTATTTGGCAAATATGGGGATGTGAGTGTGGATAAGACATTCTTTGCTGATGAATGATGTGTGTCTCATCTCTTATTTTCCTTCCTTTCTTTCTTTATTTCTTGAAATTACTTTTCATCTTAAAACAAAATCTCTGTGGGGCTTCTGTTTGTCCATACCATTTGTTACCACTGCTTTTGGTTGGCTGGATATCATTTTTCTTTAGCTTAAAATGAAAGACAACAAAAGATCACTTTTTCCCCCCATTTTTTGAATCTTTTTTTTGTTGGGTAAGGAAAAAAAGAGTAGCAGTTGTAGTAAGATGATCCCAGTTCATTCACTTTTATTTTTGAAAAAAATACTTTTTATGCCCATAAATGGAAAGAATGATATTTACTAATTGCTTATATGCCTATAAAGAGTGCAGTGGCTGATAGATCTTGATTTTGTACACTTATGGAGGTTTTCTTTGGGAGACATGATGTTTATTTTACCATTTTTGTTTTCCCTGCAATTTACATGGTTGAGAAGAAAGTGAAAAAGATGAAAGGATTTATAGAAATACACCTTTTACCATTTTGTTTTCCCTGTTTAAAGATTAACACATACTGTACTTGGAATGTAAATTAGGAAAAGAGGAATGAACCTTACATGTCCTCCCCTCCATAATCCCCTAACCAAACACACCCTAGTAGAAATTGACAATTTCTCCCTTACATGATGGGATCATTTTAGTCCCAATAAGAGAAAAAGATTAACAAGAAACCCGTCCTCAGAACTGACCGGACGGTTACCTGATTATTTTTGGTCGTGTGTTTCTATCAGATACGTGGCATCCGAGTTGGCACCCGATGTTATCGTTATTGTGGGAGAAGTAAAATTCTATCTTCACAAGGTAATTTTTGTTACATATCCTTGCTCAAACAGTGCGTGCGCGGAAGGAGGTAAATTGAGCTATAATCTTAGTAAGAAACTTAGAAACTTTGACTTTTGTGGCTCTTGGTTTTTACCTCCTCCAATGTCCATGTACTCTTTAACAGATTGTAAACATGATTCTTAAAGTAAATCTTGGTCTTCAACAATGTGACACCAAATCTGATATGCTTTTTGCAGTTCCCTCTCTTGTCCAAGTCCAACAGATTGCAAACTCTCATATCGAACGAGTCCGACCTAAGTTGCGACACCATTCAGCTGGATGATTTCCCCGGGGGACCGAAGGCCTTTGAGATATGCGCGAAATTCTGTTACGGGATGACCGTCACGCTCAATCCCTACATTGTCGCCGGGGCCCGGTGCGCGGCGGAGTATCTCGAGATGACGGAGGATGTCGAGAGAGGAAACCTCGTCTTCAAGATTGAGGTTTTCCTCAACTCGAGCATCCTCCGGAGCTGGAAGGACTCGATCATAGTCCTCCAAACCACAAAGTCTCTGCTCCCGTGGTCCGAGGATCTCCGGCTCGTGGCGCGGTGCGTGGATTCCCTCGCGTCGAAGATCTCGGTGGACCCTGCTAATGTCTTGTGGTCATACACGTGCAACCGCAGACTTCTCAAAAGTTCAAGCGCAAGCGCTTCTGAGATCAAGACGGGACCAGTTCCGATGGACTGGTGGGTGGAGGACATTTGCGAACTCGAAATGGATCTCTACAAACGGGTCATAACCGCTGTGAGATCAAAGGGGAAGACGAAGGAGGGGGTGATCGGGGAGGCGCTCAGAGCTTACACCGCGAGATGGGTGCCAGATTCTGCCCATTCCTCGACGGAATTCTCCGAATCTCACAAGAATCTAATCGAAACAATTGCATCGTTACTACCCCCATCCGGAGTCGGTTGTTCGTGCAACTTTCTTTTGAGGTTGTTGAAGTTCGCCATTCTCGTCGATGCAGAGGATTCAATGTATGAAGTTCTATTAGAGAGTATAAGCACAAAGATCGACGAGGCTTCCGTCGATGAACTATTGATCCTGGCTAGGGTTCCTCAAGCTGCTATCTACGACGTGGAATTGGTGAAGGATCTTGTGCGTCGATTCGTGTCGGGAGGGAGCGAGAAAGGGCGGGGAGGATCGTGGATGAATTTGGGGAAGCTCATGGATGGTTATCTGAAGGAGGTGGCTCGTGATCCCGGGTTGAACCTGGACGGTTTCATTGAATTGATTCGTTGCGTTCCTGAATCTGCTTGGCCGATTCACGACGGCCTCTATGATGCCATTGATACATATCTCCAGGTATGTTTGTGTTCGTATATGCACAAATGCTTAAGCTTTGGTTGTAGGTCTTAAAGTAACTTTAGGCTAAATTTTTTTACGAACGGGGCACTAGAGCACCCCGAGTCACATTGCCTGGCAATGTCATGAAAACCGTCCGTTGTGTATAATACATTGACTTGAAGGATATGTTTAACTTGTTCTATACAAGTACGTTTACAAAATTTTATTTGTGTTGCAGGAGCATCCTGGCATAACGAAAGCAGACAAGAAGAAGCTGTGTGGGCAAATGGACGTCCGGAAGTTAACCACGGATGCGTCGATGCACGCCGCTCAGAACGAGCGGCTGCCGCTGAGGACGGTGGTTCAGGTACTGTATTTTGAGCAGAGCAGGGCGGCTGCCGGAGTTCAACTTCAACAACAGCCGCTTCTAACCAACAGCAGCAGCTGCTGCTCGGACGATTCGGGCGGTGGCTGTGGCGGCAGGGCGGTCCCTCACCATCATCATCAGCAACAGCAGCTAGTAGTCTGGGAGAAAGAGCCGTTACCCGACACCCGCAAGTTTGAAACGGACTGGACGGGCGTCTCGGACAAGTACCCGCCGGTGGAAGCCGCCGCCCAGCTGTCAAAAAACGCGAGCTGCAAGAACAGAGGGGCGGCGGCGGCGGCGGCTCAGTTGCTGCCATCGCGGTCGAGGAGAATCTTTGACAAGATATGGGCGGTCCGGAAGGGGGTCGGAAGCGGGGAGAACAGGAGCTCGGAGACGTCGGGCAGCTCGCAGAGCCCGAATTCGTTGCTTCAAGGCGGAGAAACTAACCAGTCCTCTGGTTCGTCTTCAAGAAACAGAAGGCACTCCATTTCTTAAGTCTCTCTGCTAAAATCTTGGTGTAAAAAAGAAAAAAGAGAGATTCTTGGATTCTATCTAGTAAATTAGTTAAAATCCGGTGTATTGGTAAAAAAAAAATGTGACTCAAAAGTCAAAATTATTTTGTTGTTTTTTGCCCATTCTCTCCCTCTCTGTCCCTTTGAAGATGTATCCTTGTTGGCAAAACTAACTCTACTAGCCAAAATATTTCTCTTAATTTTCAACTAATTTCAAAATCATGCTCTTATTTTCAAAATTCCCATTGTGTCCATTACAACTTCACAAAGTCGTTCATTTGGAATGAACCAACCCTAACCCTGATCACGGGTCCGGGAACCGACTCGGCTGTCCAAAAAATAATGGGATTGCGTTTGACATTTTAAGGTAAGAGTCGGGTTCTTTCTAGAACAGAGCTCAGGTTTTATGTTCATGCCCACGGATTGGTGTAGCTCGAATTAATATTACTCTATTATTTATTGTTGCTATAATTATTACGGAGTATAAAATAATAATTATTTTCGTTAATATAAATAATAGAAACAATAGTATTTCAAATTACTCCATTATAAGCACTCATAAATACTTCTACTGATGAAATGATGGAATTTGAAATGTACTCAGTACTAGGTGTTTAATAAAATGAATATATCTTTATTATTCGGTATTATTTACTCTATTTCACACATTGAAAATGATATTTAAATAAATAATAATAACATTATCGTTAAAGAAGTGACATAGTGCTTGTTTGGGAATAACGTTAGAGATTAGCGTTAGCATTTTGGATAAAATTTTAACGGTGCAGATTACTTTAAAAACACTAACGCTAAACCCTATCCATAGATAGCCTTTTCAAAACGCTAACGCTATTTCCAAACAAGCCCATAATCAAATAAAACACAATTTTATATATTATCCGTTTTTTGACATACTAATTATGGTCATTAAATGAAACATCTAAAACAATATTTTGTTTAAAAACTATTTTTAAATTATTTAGAAGTTGTTGCCATATAGACAATGCTGGCCCCAAGCCCACTCTATCTATTTGGGTCGGACTCAGGTTTCAATTGTTATGTCCGCGATACGTGACGAACCGGACTCGAGTCTAAATAATGTAACATCTCCATACGATTCAAAACCCGATCCGACCCATACTTTGACCAGCTCTAACCAAACCGCACCACTTGTGCTGATGTGCAAAGACAAAAAAAATGAAAGGGGTACATTCGACATTTAAACACATCACGCCACTCACTGAGTTACTCGCAGTCTCAATATTTCTCGGGCTTACATCGTCGCCGTCGTCTCTCTCTCTCTCATTTGCCGATCGTGAATCGGAGTTTTCTGAGCTCAAACCCTAAAAATCTCCATTGAAGCGGCTTGAAGAAAGCCAGAATTCAGTGTATGTTTCTTCATATGGATATTTATAGCGTCTACATGTTTGCATGTCTTCGGATTGTTCTCTGAGCTCTTCCTTACGAGTTATGAGGCTCTAGGTTTCCTGTATCTCGCTATTTTTCGGTGGCTCTGTCTTTATTCCTTCTTTATGAGAGCAATGTAGCTGCATGACAGTGTCTGCAACTCAGAAGATCTGGAAAATGGAAATGAGGCTTGAACGCCTTTCGGTTGAATTTATTTATTTCTTCCTCTTTTCTTCTCTGCAACTCAGAAGATCTGTGTATTTTGAAGTGTGCCCAATTTGTTGATTTTTGTATGTTAATGGTTTTGATTGGGCGTATAGGGTTTATCCAGGGTCTAATTTGGGGTTGGAGCTATTTTGACTTTGGCTTTTAAGTTTGTTGACTTTTTTTTCATTGAGTGCAGAAGAGGCTCTGGTATGCAACTCCATGACTTACAAACCTCTTATATGTAAAAGATTGTGTGTGCATTTTTTAAACCAGTACTTGGTGAATTGACTATTGGACCCTATGCATTCTGCCAGTTTGAAATTTTAGAGATTTTTTCCTTTGTTATGCTATGTTTGAAACTTTAGTGGTTAGCATTCCCTTTATGTGCATTTGTATAGATGGGGTAAAGTGTTTATTTGGTAAACAACTGCCTAATGTCTTGTTAACTATAGGCTCCTAATCTCCTATTGTGTTGAGGATAATCTTATCTTTGGTTCATTGGGATACTAATTGTCTCTTACAAATCTGATGTATATAAATGTCAGCAACATGAGAGATGGGGCTGGACCTAGCACGGGAAAGGAGAAATCAAATGGCTATCAAAAGATGGACATTGATTTTGAAGATCTTGAATTTGATGAAGAGGAAGATGAATTTGATGAGCCACTCGATGAAGCTGCTTTACAAGAAATGAATCTGAGCAAAAAGAAATTGGGTGATTTTTGCAAAAAAGTAGGCACCTCATTTTTTGACAAGTATGGTCTGATAAGTCACCAGATCAATTCATACAATGACTTCATCAAACATGGAATCCAGAAAGTGTTTGACTCCATTGGAGATATTGTAGTTGAGCCTGGATATGATCCCTCAAAGAAGGGTGATAGTGACTGGAGGTATGCATCCATAAAGTTTGAGAAGCCGACCCTTGCCCCACCAACTTATTACCTTAGCGAAAAGTTCTCCCAAGATGGCTGCGACGAATCTCCGCCATTGTTGCCCCGACATGCCCGCCTTCAGTTCATGACATATGCGGCTAGGATAACAGTTCAGGCTCATGTTAAGGTTTGTGATTTCTTTTCATTGGCTTGTTTTTTTAGTTGACCGTATAGAAACTTGAGTATTTAGTTGTGCTAGTTGATCCTTTTATGTTGTTACACTTGCACATTAACCAAAAATTAGAAAAACCACGTTGTCACTCACACAGCCACATGTATAGTCATTTTATCCAATTCATTCCAACCACATTATATATGTGTGTGTGTGTGTACATATCTATGTATGCATATATGCATATATGTATGCTAAACCTCACTTTGCGGTGGTCTGCTGTTGTTGTGTATTTTTGCTGCTTCTTAGTTTGTTTGTGTTCATGTTTGGCACAATCAGTTTTCTAGTATTGGTCTGAGCTATTTGCTCATGTGGTACATTCAGTTCTCTTGAGTCTTGATAGATTGTTAATAATCTAATTATGCTCTGGCGTCAGGAGCAAGAAAATCATATCTTTCCGAAGGGGCCATGGTGCTGCATTTACATTTATTATTGCTTTGTTGTCACCCTTGCTTGTCAATTTCAAATATGAACACTTCTCGTGAGTCATGACTATGGCTATTATACTCTTTGGATTTCTTGGCGCGTCCCTATAAACCACATCATCCTTCGTCATTATCATGTACATGCTATTGAACTATGTTTCCCTTGGAATGCTTTTAGGTGTACACTAAAAGACGAGTCCGAAGTGACAAGTTTAAAACTGGAGTAGACCAGTATGTTGCAGATGATTGCCTGTCAGAGGATTCTACAACTGTTGGCATAGGGAGTATACCCGTGATGGTCAACTCGGACCTCTGCTGGATGAGTAAAGCAAACAAGAAGCCAGATTGTGAATTTGATCATGGTGGATATTTTATCGTCAAAGGGGCGGAAAAGGTCATGTGATTTTCATTTATTTTCCTTGCTACTTTTAGTATGTTGTCATCTATACCATTTATCTTGGTACATATAATGTTGCAGTCACATTTAGTACATAGGTTTCTCCTTTAGTTATTTTCTTTGAAAAAAATGGAGAATTGAAATGTTAAACATAAGACACCTCTACTTCTCTTGTTTTTCAAATGTGTAATTAGAAATATTTTCTTCAGTTTCTCTCTTTTCTTTCAGATTTGGAATACCTTTTTTTTCCTTTCCAAAATGGGAGTCTGGAAAACACGATCATCTTACCTGTCTGCCAATGGGGTAATTGCGGCCACCTCTGCCACAGTCAGCCACTCTCACATTATGGACTAATGCTGACAACTGTGGCCGCCATTCCCGCTGTTGGCCACTACAACCGCCGGCAGTTATTGCCTTATTGGTGGTGTCTGCCAAGCCAATCATTTTGGTTTCATTCTTTATTTTGAATAATAAATTCAAGCCACTCTATTTTAAGTTGATTATTGGTACGTTTCAGTGTATGAAATTTGTTTCACATATTACATATTGACGGACACTTTTTGCAGACCTTTATTGCTCAGGAGCAAATATGCTTAAAAAGACTTTGGGTAGCTAACATTCCAAATTGGATGGTTTCATACCGCCCGGTTGCGAAGAGGAAAAGAGTGTACATAAAGCTGATAGATTCCTCAAAAGTTGAAAATGTGGCTAGTGGAGGGGAAAAAGTCCTGAATGTGTATTTTTCTGTGGTAGAAATGCCTATTTGGATATTCTTCTTTGCGCTTGGTGTATCCTCAGATAAAGAGGTGGTCAACTTGTGTGATGTAGATGTGGAGGACACTGATATTGTGAATATAATTGTTGCTTCCATACACGACGCTGATAATAAGTGTGAGTCCTTCAGAAAACAGCAAGTAGCTCTGAATTATGTTTCTGAACTAATGAAGAGCTGTAAATTTCCTCCTCAAGATTCTGTAGAAGACTGCATAAACAACTTCCTGTTCCCTAATCTCAACAGCTTCAAGAAGAAAGCGCGCTTTCTTGGCTATATGGTGAAATGCCTCCTTCAGGCTTATACTGGTCGGAGGAAAGTGGACAACAGAGATGATTTTAGAAATAAGAGGATGGAACTTGCTAATGAGCTGCTTGAACGAGAGCTCAGAGTGCACCTTAAACATGCAGAGAGGCGTATGACCAAAGCAATGCAAAGAGATCTGTATGGAGATAGAGAGTTGCATCCGATTGAACACTATTGGGATGCATCAATAGTTACTAATGGTCTTTCCAGGGCATTTTCTACTGGAGCATGGACACATCCATACAAGAGAATGGAGAGGGTATCTGGTGTGGTGGCAAACCTTAGACGAACTAACCCGTTGCAAATGACGGCTGATATGAGGAAAACACGTCAGCAAGTGTCATACACTGGCAAAGTTGGTGATGCTAGATATCCGTAAGATTTGTGGATCTTGAGAGGAGCCTTTTCCATGTTATTGCATTTTAAATTTTTGGATTACTTTATTATATTATTTATATCCATAGGTTTTCTTTCATTCATTGAATAACATCAACACCCAATATAATCCCATCTTCATTGGGGTCTGGGACCCGGTGGCTCAACATCCACAAAATTTTACCCTTAAAAAAGTGGTTTTTATTATACCAGTGATGCATTGTTGCATTTACTCCCCAAAACTGCATACAAAGTAAGAAGCAAGGGAATTTCATGTAACATTTTGATATAGTCCATTATTTACATGAAGCTTAAACATCGTAAAAAATGATTCTTTTAGCTACATTGGCAATGGCTTATATAGGTTCTTTTTTAACAAAAGAGATTAACATGCATATTAATATTCATTTTTTCCGAGCTTTGTGTGATTTAAGATGTGGAGAAAATCCTGCAGTAATCAAAGCTGAAATCGTGTAGTTGCAATGAATTAGAAATCGCTCCTTGTCTCTACTAGAAGCTTATCTTTGTTATATAACGTAATTGACAATAATCACAATGTAAACTGTTTATGGGCAACACACTTTCAATTTGTTGTTATTTGTTTCTCTTCTCATTGATATTAAAGTTGAACAAATTTCTGTACAGGCATCCATCACACTGGGGGAAAGTTTGCTTTCTCTCTACCCCAGATGGAGAAAACTGTGGGCTGGTAAAAAACTTGGCCAGTTTGGGTCTTGTCAGCACAAACATTGTGGAACCGTTTCTTGATAAGCTCTTTGGTTGTGGAATGGAATCACTAGTGGACGATACTTCAACAATACTTCACCGGAAGCACAAAATATTTCTTGATGGAGATTGGGTAGGAGTATGCGAAGATCCTGTATATTTTGCCTTGAAACTAAGGCGTATGCGGCGCAGGGGTGAAGTGCCACTTCAGGTCATCCTAAAATTATTTGAAACAATCTTCGGCATTCCTTCTGGCCCATTAAAGAATCCTCTTTGGAAACTTATATTTCCCAAAAGAAATTTAAAAACTCCGCTTTGAATAAATGGGGCTAATGATGTTCAAAAAAAGTTTTCTAAAGTAAAATATTTAAAAACATAGAAGAACCATTTTTTTTCTTTTTAGCTCTTTTGATGGTTTCAACTAGTTGTGCCTGGCTAAAATTTATAGGTTGTAAATTATCATATATTTTTTGGGGACAAAGGACAGAAATATTTAGAGGCACAGTTCTGATATCACTAGCTCAAATTTTGTAACGAATCCACATACTGCTACTCACATGTTGTTATCCTCAATTTCATTCCTATTCTAAACTACACTTTTACTTTGTTTTTCCATTCTAGGTTGAAATCAAGCGGGATGAACAGCAAAAGGAAGTCCGTATATTTTCTGATGCTGGGCGAATTATGCGACCTCTTCTTGTTGTTGAAAATCTAAAGAAGGTTCAACTTCTCAAAGATGGAGAGTCCTTTCAATCTTTTCTGGACAATGGGATTGTCGAACTCATTGGTGCAGAAGAAGAGGAAGATTGTAGAACTGCTTGGGGAATCAACTATCTCTTGGAGGGAAGCAAGGAGAACCCTCCGGCTAAGTACACACATTGTGAGCTTGACTTATCATTTCTGTTGGGTTTGAGCTGCGGGATTATTCCTTTTGCCAACCATGATCATGCAAGGAGGGTTCTATACCAGTCTGAGAAGCATAGTCAGCAAGCCATTGGGTTCTCCACTTTGAACCCAAGCATTAGAATAGATACAAATACTCATCAAATGTATTATCCTCAGAGGCCTCTTTTTCGTACCGTGCTGTCTGATTGCCTTGGAAAGCCCAAAGATCCCCATTATCATAAATCAATGCTTCCACGGCCTGAGTTCTACAATGGACAATGTGCAATCGTGGCAGTCAATGTTCACCTCGGATACAACCAAGAGGACTCTTTAGTGATGAATCGTTCTTCTTTGGAGCGGGGTATGTTCAGGTCAGAGCATATTAGAAGTTACAAGGCTGAGACTGAAAGTAAGGAAGGCATGGGGAAAAAAGCAAAATTTGAAGATACAGTGGTGTTTGGAAAGACACAAAGTAAAATAGGACGTGTTGACAGTCTGGACGATGATGGGTTTCCATTCATCGGTGCAAACCTTCAGAGTGGTGACATTGTCATTGGGAAATATGCAGAGTCAGGGGCTGATCAAAGTGTAAAACTGAAGCATACTGAAAGAGGCATGGTTCAGAAGGTCATTCTCTCTACTAATGATGATGGAAAAAATTTTGCTGTTGTATCTTTGAGACAGGTAGTACATCTTTAAAAGTCTGGTTGCATTTATGTTTGTGTGTAAGCTCATTTATGTTCAGGATCGTATACTCATTCCATCACAAAAAAGTCTTGTTTCACCAAGACACAACTTCGGAATATTAGTAAGGTACAACTCTATCAGTAGTGCTTGAGCCACGGTGTTTTTGAAACAATCTCTCTACCTTTTCTAGGTTTGCGCACACCCTCCCCCCATTCGTGGGACTTAAATGGGTTGTTGTTATACAACCTCTCTACCTTTTATAGAATGCAAAGCTCTCGTTTTCCACTTTTACCCGATGCCTTAAAAACCAACATGCAAGTTTCCGAAAGGCATTTTTTAGTGAAGGGGAAGGGAGAGGATGTTGTTCATTTTAAGAAAATGTTGATGTAACTTGCTTATTTTCAACAGAGTGACATGAACTGATAAATTATTTCACACTAGTTGCTCTGCTCATTTATTTTTAACCATTAACCATATATATATTTCTCATTTTAAGAATAAAAATAACCCATCATCTTCCATTTTCTCTCCAAAGAGTAAAACCCCTCCCCCCTCCCAAAAAAATCAAACTGTCATTATATGATGCTGATGGCAACTCTTGCCTCCAGGTTCGTTCTCCTTGCCTTGGAGACAAATTTTCAAGTATGCATGGGCAGAAGGGTG